CACTGGTGTGTGTGCTGTTATTCAAGAGGCACTGCCACCTGCCAGTTTATCCTGTGGTCTGAGCTTAATACAATTTTTGAGCCCTCTTCCTTACAATCAGGAGTGCCTCCTCACAGGGGGAGCCTGCGTGGTTTGTGCTCTGCCTCGGAAGGTGTCTGGTCTCAGGGCTCCTCACCCTGTGAGAGTGGGGAAGGGCCTCTCCTCATGTGCCTGTGTTTCTCCCTCAGGATTGTCGCTGCCCGGTTGAATGGCTCTTTAGATTTCTTTTCGCTAGAGACACACACGTCCTTGAATCACCTGCAGTTCCGAGGTAAGCAGGCATCCGAGCGTGCTGTGCACTGCCCTGAGCTCCTCTGAGCCTTCTCCTCTTCCCTTGCCTTCTTGCAGCTGACTCTTCCTCACACCCACTTCATAAGCTGTTGTAGTAATGCTCTGTTCCAAAACACCCTGTGCTGCAGGATGCTGAATCAGCTGCTGTGGAGAGGCGAGGAATACTTTGGGAGTTCCCTATGCAGGGAGAGCATCTCGAGTGCTGGTTTTCTCCAGTGCATAGGTCTGGAGGCTGAGACATGCGTTCCAGGGTCAGCTCTGCCCTGTACCTCTTTCCCACTTCTCACTTATTTTCTCCTTCAGCAAGGTCTGTTCTCACTCATTTGCACACTATATAGCCCCACACAATCACAATATAGCTCAGGGCCTCGTCACAACCACGACACACACAAAACTAGTCCGTGGCGGTAACTGGTTTGCAGTGCAGTGGCTCCTTTGGTTCTGGAGTGGCCTGGAGGAGAGAGAAGCCCTGGTTTTACTCCAGGAGAATGGGTGCATTCCTGGAGGGATGTCCTGGGGTCTGCAAGCTGTAGATCTGGAAGTGGAGCAGGCTCTGCAGGAAAGGGCTGGCTGTGGAAAGGACTTTTTCCCATACAGTACAGAGAGTCTTGTGCCCAGCTGTCTGTTCTGCCTCTGACAAGGGTAATCGCAGAGCTCGTGGGCTTCAGGGACCTCAGCCGTGCAGAAGAATTACTGTGTAGGTAGGGAGTTCTGCTGCTGAGGACCCTGTCGAAGACCCTCACTCCAGTTGTTCATGAGCGCTGAGCAGCTGTAGCTTCTGTCAGTGTCAGCCAGAGTGCCGAGTGTTGGCTCATCGGAGGACCAGGTTAAAATTCCTTGAAGTTCAGCGTCCAGGCATCCCTGATACCGCACCATTTCTGGGTGATATTAGTCTTGGAGCGCAAGGCTGTGTCTGCTGCAACAAGGACTTACCTGCTTGTCTCGCCACAGGAGCCCCAAGCAGAAGCAGCATCCCGTCTTCCCCCGTGTTCAGCAGCAGCGACATCATCATGTGTCAGCTCACCCACACCGTGTCCTGCGCCCACCAGAAGCCGATCACGGCGCTGAAGGCTGCGGCTGGACGGCTGGTCACGGGGAGCCAGGACCACACTCTGAGAGTAAGGCTAAGCAGAGCAGGAGATCCTCTTGCCTTAGGGCTGGGTGACTTCATGAATATCAGGGTCTGGGTTCTGGGCTGTCCCTTGTCTTCTCCTTGTCCCTTCCAGCAGCAGCTGTCCCCTTCAGCTATGCAAGTTGCTTCCCTGCCCTGTCGCTGCCTGACAGGCATTACCCTTTTCCTGTGTCCTTGGCAGCAGCTTCCAGTGCCCTCACTGAATTGCTGACAGGCTCTGGCTCTGCCGTGAGTAGCGGGCAGCAGTAAGGAAGATAGAAACAGGGAGATCTATTGCTTCGTTAGCAAGAGTGGTAAGACGCAGGCAGTATCGCTGTGCAGCACAGCTGCCCTGCCGATGCTCACATCTGCCTCTTCTGCCCTGCAGGTGTTTCGGCTAGAAGACTCATGCTGTTTGTTCACGCTGCAGGGTCACTCAGGAGCAATCACAGCTGTGTACATCGATCAGGTAAGGTGCAGCTGGGTCTGCACTGGGAAGAACAGCCTTTATATACGGCTGCTGAGCCAGTGGTTCAGCCGGAGGGACCCAGCTGGGACTCTCTTCTGGTTTGCGCCTGGAGAAGTTGATGTGGGCTTCTCTGAGGACACAGAGGGTTTGCTGGCTGCTGTGACCCTGTGCTCACCAGAATTGCATTCTGTTCTATTGTATTCTACTTTATTCTATTCTATCCCATTCTATTCTATTCCATTCCATTCTATTCAATTCCATTCCATTCTATTCAATCATATAGTATTCTAACTTATTCTATTCTATTTCATTCTATTATATCCTATCCTACCTTATTCTATTCAGTCTAACCTATCCTATTTTATTTTATTCAATTCTATTCAGTTCTGTTTTTTTATTCAATTTTATTCAATTCTATTGTATTCAATTTTATTAAATTTTATTCCATTCTATTCTATTTTATTCTATTCCATTTAATCCTAACCTATCTTATTCTATTCTATCCCATTCTATTCAATCATATGCTATTATAACTTATTCTATTCTATTTCATTCTAATATATCATATCCTACCTTACTCTAACCTATCCTGTTCTATTGCATTCATTTGCATTCGATTCAATTCTGTTCCACTCTGTTCCAACTTATTTTATTCTATTTCATTCTATTATATCCTATCCTACCTTATTCTATTCAGTCTAACCTATCCTGTTCTATTGCATTCATCTGCATTCTATTCAATTCTATTTTATTCAATTTTATTCAATTCTATTCAGTTCTGTTTCATTTTATTCAATTCTGTTTTATTTTATTCTAGTCCATTCTATTCTATTTGATTCTCTTCCATTCTATTCTATTTTTTTCTATTCTGTTCTATCCTATTCCATTCTATTCTATCCTATCCTCTTATTTGCATTCTGTTCTATTGTATACTAATTTATTCTATTCTACTCCATTCTATTCCATTCTATTCTATCATATGCTATTTTATTGCATTCATTTGCATTCTATTTTATTCTATTCTACCTTATTGTATTGTATTCTATCCTATCCTATTCCTTTGCAATACAAGCTGAGCGAGTATTTTCCCACCCAGCTGACTGCAAGCGCAGCAATCCCTTTCCCTGGAGGTGGTTTGTCTCCCTGCCCTGTTTGGAGCAGGAAAGCCCCGTTCCTGCTGTACCCGTCCTGCCAGGATGGCAGCTCTGACACCAGGGAGCCTCTGAAGGCAGAGCCGGGAGCACCAGGCTGAAACTGGCCCAGGAAATGTTCCCTGCCCTGTGAATGTCTGCCCTCCAGGGGACCGGCTGTCTCCTGAGGGAGGGAGCAGAGGCTTAGCAGAGCTGACACAGAGCCTGCACTGCCAGGGCTGGAGAGGTGAGCAAGGCTAACGACAGGGCTCAGCAGAGCCTGCCCTGCTCTGCTGTGAGCCTCCAGGGAGGCTTTGTGTACCAGGTCCCCTTGGAAAGAAGAAGGAGAGCCACACCTGTGTGCTTTACAGCTCTGTTTAAATGAATTTAGGTTTCTCTGCACCTGGGAGTCCTGGTGGGCTTGGGGCCTTGTTACCTCCAGCCTGTTGGAACACATGTACAAAGGCAAGGGAGCCACCGAACTGGCAGCTCCGCTTTCCATCCCTCATTCCTGTGACCTCCCTCCTGGGAGCATGCCCAGAGCACTGGAACTGCTTGTATACAGAACTGGCTCATGTGTTCAGCGGCTTCGCGTGTCTGTGGCACTGCGAAGCCCTGGGGTGCAATGGCAAGGGCGCTGTCCTCTGAGATCCTGACCTGGTTCTGCCTGTGTCTTTGCAGACGATGGTGCTAGCGAGTGGAGGCCAGGACGGTGCCATCTGCCTTTGGGACGTGCTGACGGGGAGCAAGGTCAGCCACATGTACGCCCACCGAGGGGACGTCACGTCCCTCACCTGCACAACATCCTGCGTCATCAGCAGCGGCTTGGATGACGTGATCAGCATCTGGGACCGCAGCTCGGGGATCAAGCTCTATTCTATCCAGCAGGTTGGTAGGCGGGGAGCAGCCAGGGAAAGGTTAAGGGTGCTCCTGTGCTTTTCTGGACCCCACCAAACCCCACAGACCACCTCTGCTGGGCTTGTAGTGTGAAGGGATCTGTATTTATAAACTCCACCTGCTTTGGAAAACTTACCCCTTTGTAAACATAACATGCAAGAGCTTGGAAAAGACCAAATCTGTTGCTTGGCTAGACTGCGCTGTCCCACTGCGAGGCTCAGTGGCTCCATTCCAGCACATGTGCACCCGCGGGGCTGGGCTGGCAGAGGGGCTGCGGCTAAATGGCCTCTCCCCAGCCACAGCAAGAAGCTGCCTGCCAGAAGCGGTGCGGGCAGGCTGCTGCCCTCCCTCACGGAGGAGTTCCTTCCGAGACGCCTGCCGCAGGCTTGGCTCTCTGACCTGCTCTCGTTCCACGCAGGAGATGGGCTGCGGCGCCAGCCTGGGCGTGATCTCCGACAACCTGTTGGTGACGGGAGGCCAAGGCTGCGTCTCCTTCTGGGACATCGGCTATGGCGACCTGCTCCAGACCGTCTACCTGGGGAAGAGCAACGAGTCGCAGCCCGCGCGGCAGATCCTTGTGCTGGAGAATGCCGCCATCGTCTGCAACTTCGGGAGTGAGCTCAGCCTGGTCTACGTGCCCTCGGTGCTGGAGAAACTGGACTGAGGAAGGAGGGGCAGGCACTGGAGCCTGGGTGGAGGGAGGCAGGTGGGACGGGGCGCCCGGCCCCCTTCCATAGTTGAAGGCAGCCTAGGCGGACAAAAGGTGGGCTCGAGGCAGCGCCGCGCTGCTGCCCGCAGGCAAGGGGATAGGGACACCGGCTCCATCGCTCTGTCTGTACCTCCGTTGCCTTTCCTCCTCGTAAACCGGACTCTTGCTACCCAAAGGTCTTCAGGGCCCCAGCCCTCCTCTTTGCCCCTCTGCCCCATTTCCCTCCATCTTCCATGCGGTTGCCGGGGCTCCCCAGGGGTGCGATGCTCCTGGGGCTGTCCTGGTTGGCGCAGAGGGACACGGTGGAGTGAGGGTGCGGGGGGTGCCACGCTCCGCTCCAGCATCCTGCTTGGGACAGGACAGGCGATGGGGCCGGCATGCGGTGGCTCCCCAGAGCTGACCCGCTGTCTGGGGGAGACTGAAGGAGGAGCAGCGCAGGGCTGGGGCAGCCTCGCTGCCTGTTACCTTGTGGTAGCTGAGCTAAGCTGGGCCCAGCTCTGTCTCGGCAGGTTCTGGCTTAGTCGCAGTGGTGCGGGCAGCGGTGCCCAGCCTGCCTTTGCAGGGCTGTCCCAGCCCAATGCCCGCTCCCGGGGCACAGGGGACAGCCCTGCACACCTGGCCTCCCCCCACCCCAGGCCAGAGAGGAGCAGCCGGGGGCTGCCAGCCCTCGGTGAACCCCTGGCACCCAGTGCCACCATCACCGCGGTCTGGCCGTAGCCCCTCGGCTCATGGCAGCAGCGGGTCCATGTTGGGAGAAGGATGGGGTTGATCTCACCTGGGCGCTTGGCTTGGCCTCCACATCAGGAGAAGGATGGAGCTGACCTCACCTGGGCACTTGGCTTGGCCTCCGTGTGCCTTAGAGCATGGGCAGGGCCCCCACCTGCCCGGCTCCGGGCTGGCCCTGCCCCATGCGGGCTCCGTGCTGCAGCAGTCCCTGCCCTATTTATTTATATGCTGTATATATTTATTTATTATGGCAGGAGAGCGTGGGACCAGCGGCCCAGCAGTACCTGCGCCCACATGCCTGCCCTCGCTCCACCAAGCTGCCATGGCAGAGCCGCCCTGGCACTGGACCTGCTCCCACCTTTCTCCTTTGCCCAGTTTGCAGCAATAGCACCTTCCTCCTCCTCCTCCCGCTGCAGGGCCAGAGGAGGATTTTCTCAGGTTGGGAGCAGGCCGGCAGCCCTTGCCCCCATCCTCCCTGCAGGGAGAAAGCCCTGGGGGGCCGGGGGGAGCTGGGAGGGCTCGGGGGAGCAGTGGGGACCAAAGGGCCCTGCCACTGGCGGCAGCCCCCCACCCCGAGACACTGGGCTTCTCCTGTGGCGTGTGCCGGGGCAGGGGGGGGAGCTCAGCTCCCCTCCCCAGTTGCAGTACAGGCCCCACTCCAGCCCCAGGCAGCGAGAGGCAGGGGGGCCAAGCCACTGCCCCCCCAAACCCTGCCCTGGCAATGGGGGGGGGGCACCAGCCTCGAGCAGAGCTGGGGCCGAACCCTTCCTCTACCACACTCTTCCCTCCAGTAAATGCCGATGACGTCTGTTAATTGAATCCTGGTGATTGTAGAGGCAGCACCATGCCAGCCCCCGGGCAGGCAGGAAGCCCCCCTGAGCATGGCCGGGGAGACCCAAGGCCTGGGGGCTCCCCTGGTGGGGGCCATGGGGTAGCATTCCCCCCACGCCCCGGCTTCCCCCTCTGCCTCGGGTGGCCTTAGCCCGGCTGTACGCTTTGTACTGTACAGGGGACGCTTTTTGTACCAGATCCTGTTTTATAATCTGTCCGAGGACACCACCATTAAACAGAACTAACCCAAGCGTTGCTGCGCCGCTGCCGAACCCCTCCTGACCCCCCCACCCTCCATCACAGTCCCATCCCCCCCCGGGACCCCCAGGACCAGGCAGGGAGCTGAGAGCCCCCATGCCAGCAGAGCAGCACTGGGGCCTGGCCCAGCTGCAGATCAAACTCTTCTTTATTTTAGTAGCAAAGAGCTGAAAAAGTCAGTTCTAATTGGAGTCAAATAACATGGCGAGCGCCAATGTTACACCTGTACAAAGCAGAAGGATTGGGGGGGGTAGGGGAAGGCAGACACCCCCCCAATGCCCCCCACCCCTCAGGGTACCCCAACCACTGCTGCCTGGGGTCCTCCCATCCCAAACTGGGGGTCCCAGGGGAAGGAAGCACCCACAGGGCAGGGGCCCAGGGCTGTAGTGCTGGGTCTGGGGGCGGGGGGGGGGGACAGGACACACAACACACACGGCCCCCCCCTCACGTCTTGTTGAGGGTCCAGAGGGGGTCCAGCATGCTGAGAGGGTCATCGCTGGGCCGGGGCCCCCGCAGCCCCTCGCCTGTCTGCGCCTGCAGGAAGTTCTGCTTGTTCATCCGCTGCTTGCCCTTGAGGGAGGCGTCCAGGGTGAAGGCCTCGGGTGTGAGGGAGGCCAACAGCTCCAGTGAGGAGGTGGGGGGCACAGCAGGGGGGACCACCGGCTCCCCCCCCGGGACTTCGGGGCTCTCCGCTACATGGTTGCTGCTCTCAGGGTCACCGGGTGGCTCAGGGAGGGGCGGCCCTGGCGGGGAGGGTTCAGGGAGGGGGGCACCCACGCCATCCAGCATGCCGTCGGGAAGCACTGGTGGCATCGCCTGGGTGTCCGTGGCATCAGGTGGGGGGACAGGATCCAGCAACCAGACCCCCCCTTGCTCCCCGCCAGCCCCCCCAGGCTTGATGCTCAGCTTGGCGATGGTGGCCTGGATAGAGCTGATGGGCATGTCCCCACCCAGGACCAGGTCCTGGGGGTCCTGGTGGAAGTAGAGCTGCGGGAGAGAGGCCCCATGAGCCCTGGGGGGGTGATGGATATCCCCCACCCCCCACTGACCCTGCACCCACCTTGAGGGAGGCACTGTTGGTGGCCTTGGGGACAGCGGGGGCTCCCACGCCGTGGCGGTGCAGCACTTGCTCGGCGTGCAGCAGGACGGCCTCGTAGCAGAACTTGAGGTGGAGCTGCAGGGAAGGAGGGTGGCGTGGGTCAGTCCCCGGGGGCTTCAACCCCTTCTCTCCCCCCCCCTCCCCCTGCGGCCCCACTACCTTCTCCTGCAGCATGTGCTTGCGCTGCTGCCGCATCCGCTTGACCAGCTGGGCCAAGTCGGGGATGCCGTTGCCCGCCTCCACCTCCTGCATGGCGGCGTAGAGCAGGCAGAAGGCCCCGGTGCGGCCCACCCCGGAGCTGCGGAGAGACAACCCCCCCACCCCGAAAAAGGCTGTGACAGGCCCCTGGGGAGGGGACGACAGGGACACAGCACCCCATGCCCCCACAGGAGCAAC